ATTTTCAACAGGAAGAGATGTATAATTAATCCCTCAGTTCCAGGAGGGATGAAAGTGATTATATTTCTAACAGTTATAAAAGCATTATAATTGCTATTTACATCCTCCAAATTTAACAGCACCCCTCCCCAATGTGACTAATTCAAAGACCTTCACAGTTCTTGGTCTACTACCAAAAATCTTGGGAGATGATTTTCCATTAAAGCTGCTTACAGATATAAGGTGGCTTAATCTATGACTTGTAACATGAATAATACTATATGCAAATTTGATAGTTATACACTTGTTTCTATATGGGTGAAATTATAGAAAAAATAGAATTGTTTTAACAACTGTTACTTTATTTAAAACATACATGGGGCAATAATGGTAGCATTTGCTGTATGCTTCCTAGGTGCCAGATGCTATTCAAAGCACTTTACATTAATTTGGTCATGATAATTAATCCCACAAGTTAGCTCCATTTTAGGGGCACCTGGGTGGCTCAGTCAGTAAGCACCCAACTTCAGCTCAGGTCATGATCTCTCGGTTTGTGGGTTCGAGCCCGACGGAGGGCTCTGTGCTGACAGCTAGTTCAGAGCCTAGAGGCTCCTTCAGATTCTGTGTCTCCCTCACTCTCTGACCCTCTCCTGCTCACGCTGTCTCTCTCTCTCAGAAATAAATAAAAATATTACCTAAAAAATAGCTCCAATTTATAGATAAGGAAATTGAGGCATAGGTCATACAGCTAACAAATGAAAGAGTCAGGTTTCATACCTATTCATTCTGTCTCCAAAGCCCAGACTCCACCTCTGTGCTCTTTAGGGAATAATAGGGCAGAAAAATGCACGGAGATGGAGGATAGTCAAGATGTGGACACAGAAAACATACATAACATCAACTGTCCAAATATCCATTCAGACAATATCTTTTCACCTCAATATACGAAAGGGTGCAAGGGAACCAAAAAAACTGGGTTCTAGAAATAAAATTTTATCAACTAAATACTTAACCAGGGCAAGTAAATTGAACCCAATATGTAAGTAACACCTCTTACTTCCAAGTACTGAGAGGAAAGCGAATTTCATGCTAAACTTTGAGCTCCTCAGAAATTTGCCATATAAATTTTAAAGAGGTGTTTCCCAGCTTTAAGAAAATTCAACACATGACAATCTTCATTGTCTAAGCAAACATTCTTGTAAACTAATTACAATGAAAAATATTTCATTGCAGGTGTTTTGTAATGATGCTTCCTTAACACTCTTTTCATAAGGACTTTTTTATTTTAAGGAAGGAAGGGAATGTCATTCTATATTACTGAATAGGGAAGTCCTCAGCAACCCTAGCAGCCCCTCCTCTGCTCACAGAACCAGCATCTTCTCCCCTATTCAGTTCTTCAGAGCAAACTAGTGGATGTGGCACTGTCAACCATTCCTACCATTCATTACAGATAAGAGAATGTCAGTCCCACAACATCTAGTGGCCACTTAGCAAGCCCTTTAGCCTCTGTGTTTCCATATGAGGATAGTAACAGTATCTCCTCCTTCACTAAAGGGCAGCAAAGGATTGAGGAGTTAAGCCATGGAAGCATTTCAAGTTCCTGGCACACAACAAATGCTCTGTAAGTGTTAGATTTATTCTTATAGTCTTGTAACAAAATACTCCCGGGAAGTTGTCACAAGCGTCTTCCAACACGAGAACACCACGTGATAAGGAACATGCAATACTTCTATAATGAAAGGGGGAAGGAGGGAAGGGCAAAGCACATATAACTGTAAACAAAATGTGTCCAATCTGAGGAAAATATATATTCTTCGGGGTGTATGTTTGAATGTAAGTGAGGGTATATTAAATTAATCTATCAGGAAGTTCAAAACTGAGCAGCGCACTGAGTATACATTTTGGCCGGGTGCCCAAACCTGAGTGTTAGATCAACATGCAGATAAAGCGGAGATCGGAGAGCATCACCATCATCAAATGTACTTCTCAAATTCAAACCTAATTCCGAAATTATCAAAAACCTGTAAATGTATTACCAGGAATTTTAGTGATAATTTTAAAGTGTGACGGGGCTGTGCAGATACAAGAATGTCACAGCAGGGCGGCCACGAGTCTGGCCATGTGGCTGCATAGCAGTGCAGCTCCTGTAGATCTAACTAGATGCTCACTGTCCGCTGTAGGAGGCAGAGGAGAGAGAGCAGGGTTGCCAGCTAGCTCTGCTAGAGCACTATAGACAGTGAGACAGCCATCAAACCATTTAGAATTTTGTCTTTCAGAGTAACTGACTGAAAGAAATATTTTGCCTATTTAATATTATGAAAGCGAGGGTACCTCAATCAATTCCATAAATTAGAGTTATGCTGTAATTTATTATTCTGCCTTACATAACCTGAATTTGTAGAAACAGTTTATTGGCTCGAAAAAGATAATTTTTCCTAAAGGGATCTAGTTAACTCACTTTCTCAACATTCATATAAACTGTTAATCTACTTCCTTAGTTAACTGTCTATTATTAATTTCTTTCTTTAATTAAATACATTTCCTCGTTCTGAACAGTAAATTAACAGCTTTCATAATTATCAATCACTGCAGCATTTTACTTTTGCAATAAGAAAAATAATAACAGCAGATATTTATATAGCATTAACTACATGCCAGGCCCCACTCTGTGACTGACACCCCCCCCACACACCCAACCAATCCTTATAACAACTCTGATATAGGTACTATTATTCTTCCCATTGTACAAATGAAGAAAACTGGCACAGGGAGAATAACTTGCCCAAACTAATAAGCAGCAGAGCTGAGATGTAAACCTACATGCTGGCTCGTGGTCTGTGCTCTTAACCACTGGACACCTTGCTTCTTGGCAGTTGAGGGATGAGTAAGAGTTAAATTGGTGAAGGGGAAAGGGAATTTGGAGGAGAGGTATGGGAGAAAAAAGGCAACAGCACATGCCAAAGCTCTTTGGCACGTATGGAACAGAGCCAGAGGGAAAGGTCCTTGAGAACATGACATTAGGTCCATGTAGTGAACCTAAAGAAGGCACACGAGTGGCTGCACTTGAGGGCTCTGCAGGATACAGACCACATAGGACAGTGAAGTTCAGGTCAAGGGACAGGAAGAGAACAGCAAGCCACCGGGGGTCTCACATGAGGGGTGGGGGCATGACAATCAGAATGCCAGTGTGAAAGCCACTATGGTACACAAATGGCTGGTCCAAGGTGAGAAAGCAGGGAGCTCCTTAGGAGTTGTGGTGACAGAAGGGATGAGATGATGGTGATAAGAGGAGAGGAGAAGGTATAATCACCAGGGCAGGGTGACAGACTGGATTTGGGGAATGTAGGGGGTCAAGAGGAAGGAAGTCTCAAGGATGACTCCTAGGTTTCTGGTTTGTGCAGCTGGATGGATGGTAATGGGCTATTCCACAAGATGGAAACACCTAATGAGGACACACTTCTCCTGGACACGTGGAGCAGATGTGAGATATCCATGGGGAGGTGTCCAGAATTGGCAGCTAGAACATACACTGCAGCCCAGGCGGAAGGTGGGAGCCAGAGGTATACACTCTGGAGTCAATACATGAATGACAACCCGATACATGAATGCAGGGTGTGGGAGATCCTATAAAAGACACTAAAGAGAAGAGGGCCTAAGGCAGAGCCCTGAAGAACTCAACATTTTAAGAGATCAGAAACATAAGAATGAGTGCAGAGAAGCTGAGAGGCAGTGAGAAAACCAGAAGAGTGCAGACATCACAGAAACCAGGGAAGGAGAGCTTAAGAAGAAATCAATAAAGCCAAATGCTCTGACAGGTCAAGAAAGATGCAGACGGAAATATCTATTAGGTGTGGAGACATGTGGTGACCGTTTCTGAAGGGCAGTGGGGACAGAGCCAGACCTGGAGTGAAGCAAGGCATAAGTGAGAGGCAGAAAGTAAAGGAAGAATATACATAACCCTGAAAAAAGGCAGGTAAAGGAGAATGTGGGGCAAGAGTAGAAAATTTAAAATAGGAGACACCGAGCACATTTAAACTGCTGATGACGACTGGAGTTGGGAGGAAGGTGAGCAGACCCACGAGGGAAGAGCTGATTGATGGTGTGAGGTTTCCGCACAGTCAGCAGGAGATAGGATTCAAAGCCTGAAGAAGTGGCAAGAGAGATGGCGCCTCTTTCTTACCACGAGGCAGGGAAGCAGGAGGTGTGCAGGTACAGGTAGGTGTGTACCTTTAAGAGCGAGAAGATGATAAACTTTCCAGCTGATGGCTCCCAATTTCTGTGTGACATAGGAGGCAAAGTTATGTCCAGAAAGTGAAAGAGGTGGTATGGGAAGGATGGGGGAAGGGGAGAGTGGGGACAGTGTCAGGGCTTCGAGGGGTCAAGAAGGATGGAATTGGTCTTTGTAGAGGGTGGGAGAAAGAGTGAGTAGAGAAAGGGAATGCTGGGCAGTGTTTTGGGCTCATTTCTGACAGGATGCACGTGACCAACAATTTACAGGGGCTCCTGTCGGCTCTGCTGTGGGCAGTGCTCAGCTGCTGGGGCAGGCAAAGAGAAGGCAGACAGCCAGTGGTCATCCAGGAGGCAGGTTTTGCTAGCAAGGCACAACAGAAGTCCAAGGGCAAGGGAGGTTAAGGACTGGGCAAGCATGCTAGAGGTGAACCAGGGGCCTAAGCTCCATGAAGAAAAGAGGGAGGATGGACTCAGAATAGAGGAACGAGAGACGAGGGTACTGACAAGAGGGAGAATCATTGTAGTACAGGCTGCCCATCAGAAAGAGGTTGTGGGCACTGCATGGGATACTTAAATTTAACTCAGTAATTATCATTATCATTATAATTATCATTAATAACCATTCATTAGATTCTTTGAATTATTAATTACTTTGATTATTCATTAATACATTAAGGTCAACCTGTGATATAACAAAAGGCTGAGCTTCCTGTTCTGTGAAGCTCTCTTAGAAATCGTTAAGACCAACAACAACCCGTGGGAAAAGTTAAGACCAACAACAACCAACTCACTTGGCTGGAGATTCCTCCTCCAGGGGGCCCGGGGACTCTTCCGCTGTAGTCTCTTCCATTGGTGCGGTCTGCTCCACATCACTGAAAAGCAGTGAGAATTGCTCTAGTCACACAATATGTCCACATCAATGCTTTTATATATTCAAGAGAGAAAAAAATACATTCCAATGTCCTTTTTCTTAAGTAAATCTCATTAAAAAAATTATATACTCATACAGGTAACCCACATCAAAATAAAAATGATAAAATGTTCTAAATTACTAATACACTGAAATTACTTAAAAAATGTTAAAAGTACTTTTAGAAATAGAACTTTCTATGAATAGCATCTAAAGTTAAAACAGATTATAAAAGACCAGAACAATTATTTAAGATTCTTACTGTCTTAGGAAATTCCAAATATTAACAGGGGCCATACAATTTCTCAACCTGTGCTTTTAAAACGTGTTCAAACATAGACTGCTAAATACACAAGATGTTACATATGAATCTCACGGTACCCACAAACCAAAAGCCTATAATAGACACAAAAAATAAAGAGAAAGAAATCCAAACATAACATTAAGAAAGTCATCAAATCACAAGGGAAGAGAGAGAAGGAACAGAAAAGAAATTAAAACACAACCAGAAAATGATTTTAAAAATGGTAATACATTCCTATCAATAATTACTTTAAATGTAAATGGACTAAATACTCCAATAAAAGACATAGGGTGACTTAAAAGATAAAGCAAGACCCACTCACATCTAAAGACACACAGGGACAAAGTGAAGAGATGGAAAACACATTTACCATGCAAACAGAAGCAAAAAAAAAAAAAAAAAAAACCTGGGGTGGCAATATTTATATCAGACAAAATAGGCTTTATTTATTTATTTACTTTAATGTTTTATTTTTATTTCTGAGAGAGAGAGAGGCAGCATGAGCAGGGGAGGGTCAGAGAGAGAGGGAGACACAAAATCCAAAGCAGGCTCCAGGCTCTGAGCTGTCAGCATAGGGCTCGATGTGGGGCTCAAACCCACGAACCGTGAGATCATGACCTGAGCTGAAGTCGGACGCTTAACCGACTGAGCCACTCAGGCGCCCCAGACAAAATAGACTTTAAAACAAAACCATAACAAGAGACAAAGAAGGGTGTTACATAATGATAAAAAGATTGATCCAAGGAGAGAATGTAACAATTGTAAATATCTCTGCATCTGACATAGGAGCGCCTGAACAAAAAGCGATGTTAAAAGACTTAAAGGGAGAAATCAACAGTGATAAAAGTAATAGTACAACACTTTAACACCCCACTTACATTAATGGATAGATCATCCAGACAGAAAATCAATCAGTAGCTTTGAAAGACACATTAGACCAGACAGACTTAACAGATATAAAGCAAACCATCCCCAAACAACAGAATACACATTCTTTTTAAATGCCATGGAACATTCTCGAGTATAAATCACATTAGGCCACAAAACAGATCTCAAAAAATTTAAAAAACTGAAATCATATCAAGCATCTTTTCTGATCACAACAATATAAACCTAGAAATTACAAGAATAAAACGGGAAAAAACAGACAGACATGTGGATGCTAAGTGTCATGCTACTAAAAAACAAATGGGTCAATAAAGAAATCAAAGAGAAAATAAAAAATACCTTGAGACAAATAAAATGAAAACACAAGGGCCCAAAATCTTTGGGACACAGCAAAAGCAGTTCTAGGAGGGAATTTATAGTGATCCAGGCCTATCTCAAAAAACAAGAAAAAATCTCAAACAATCTAACACTACACATAAAAGAACTAGAAAAAGAGGTACAAAGCGCAACAGGAGTAGAAGAAAAGAAATAAGATCAGAGCAGAAATAAATGAAATAGAGCCTAAAAACACAGTGAAAAGATCCATGAAACTACGAGCTAGTTCTCTGAAAAGACAAATAAAATTGATAAACTTTTAGCCAGATTCATCAAGGGGGGAGGGGGAGGGAAGAGGACTCAAATAAATAAAATCACAAATGAAAGAGAATTTAAAAATGACATCACAGAAATACAAACAATTGTAAGAGACTATTACAAAAAATTACACACCAAAAAATTGGACAACTAGAATAAATGGATAAATTCCTAGAAACATACAATCTTTTAAGACTGAATAAGGAAGAAAAAAAAATCTATAACTGGCCAATTACTAGTAACAAAATTGAGTTAGTAATCAAAAAACTCCAGAAGTAGATGGTTTCACAGGTAAATTCTACCACATATTTAAAGAAGAATTTATACATACTTTTCTCATATTCTAAAAAATGGAAGAGGAAGAAATACTTTCAAATTCACTCTATGAGGCCAGCATTACCCTCAAACCAAACTCAAAACAAAGACAGTACAGAAAGAACTACAGACCAATATCCCTGAGAAGCACACATGTAAAACTTCTTAATAAAATATTATTAGCAAATAGCATTCAACAACACATTACAAGGATCATTCACCATAATCACACTGGATTTATTCCAGGGATGAAAGGATGATTCAATACCTGCAAATCAATCAATGTGATACACTACATTAACAAAATGAAGGATGAAAATGATACGATCATCTCAATAGATGCTGAAAAAGCACGGACAAAATTCAACATCAATTCATGATAAAAACTCTCAACAAAGTGGGTATGGAGGGAACATACCTCAATATAATAAAGGTCATATATGAAAACTCACAGCTAACATCACACTCAATGGTAAAAAGCTGAAAGCATTTCCTCTAAGACCAGGAACAAAACAAGGATGTCCATTCTTATCACTTTTATTCAACATAGTACTGAAAGTCTTAGCCACACCAATCAGACATGAAAAAGAAGTAAAAGAGATTGAAATAGGTAAGAAGTGGGTGCCTGGGTGGTTCAGTCAGTTAAGTGTCCAACTTCAGCTCAGATCATGATCTCACAGTTTATGGGTTCAAGCCCCATGTTGGGCTCTGTGCTGAACACTTGCTCAGAGCCTGGAGCCTGCTTCAGATTCTGTGTCTCCTTCACTCTCTGCACCTCCCCTGCTCACACCCGGTCTCACTCCATCTCTCAAAAATAAATAAATGTAAAAAAAACTTTTTTAATAGGTAAGAAGTAAAACTGTCACTATTTGCAGATGACATGATACTACACACAGAAAACACTAAATAACCCACCATAAAACTATTAGAACTAATAAATGATTTCAGTAAAGTTGCAGGATACAAAATTAGTCTACAGAAATCTGTTGCATTTCTATACATTAAAATGAACCAGCAGAGACATTACAAAAAAAAAACAAACCCATTTACAACTGCATTAAAGAGAATAGCATGCCTATGAATAAAGTGAACGAAGGAGTTAAAAGACCTCTACTCTGAAAACTATAGGACAATGATACAAGAATTTGAAGACAATACAAATAAATGAGAAGATATTCTACATTCATGGATTGGAAGAATTAATACTGTTAAAAGGTCCACACTACCCAAAGTAATCTATAGATTCAATGCAATCCTAATCAAAATGCCAATGGTATTTTCCACAGAACTAGAAACAAGCAATCCTAAAATTTGTATGGAACCACAAAAGACACCAAATAGCCCAAGCACTCTTGAGAAAGAACAATAAAGCTGAATACATTACAATCCCAGATTTCAAACTATATCACAAAGCTATAATAACAAAACAGTAGTGGACTGGCATAAAAACAAAGAGCATAGATCAATGTAACAGAAAAGAGCCCAGAGCCAATCCCATGCTTATATGGTCACTTGGTCTACGACAAAGGAGGCAAGAATACACAGCAGTGAAAGACAGCTTCTTCAATAAATGGTGTTGGGAAACCTGGACAGCTACCTGCAAAAGAATGAAACTGGACCCCTTTCTTACATAATACACAAAAATAAACTCAAAATGGATTAAAGACCTAAATCTTAAAAACCGAAACCATAAAATCCCACCCCCGAAAATACCCAATCACAGGCAGTAACTCTTAAGACATCTGTTTAGCAATATTTTTCTGTATCTGTCTCCTCAGCCATGGGAAACAAAAGCATAAATAGGTTACTGGGACTATATTAAATTAAATAAAAAGCTGTGAAAGAAACCAGCAACAAAATGAAAAGGCAACCTCTCAAATGGGAGAAGAGTTTTGAAAATGATATATCCAAAAAGGGGTTGATACCCAAAATATATAAGGAACTCACAGATCTCAACACCAAAAAACCCTAACAGTCTGATTAAAAAATAGGCAGAGGATTTGACCAGACATTTTTCCAAAGAAGACATATGGTCAACAGACATATGAAAAGATGCTTAACACTACTCCTCATCAGGGAAATGCAAAAATCAAAACCATAATGATGTATAATCTTACACAAGTCAGAATAGCTAATAACAAAAAGACAAGAAGTAACAAGTGTTGGTGAGGGTGTGAAGAAAAGAGAATCCTTGTGCATTGCTGGTGGGTATGCAAATTGGTGCAGCCACTATGGAAAACTGTATGGGGGCTCCTCAAACAATTAAAACAGAATTACCATATGATCCAGTGATGACACTTTTGGGTATTTATTCCCCCTGCCCCAAATGAAAAGATGAATTTTAAAAGATACATTGTTTACTGAAGCATTATTTACAATAGCCAAGGCATGGAAGAAACCTAACTGCCCATAGACAGATGAATGGAAAAAGATGTATTATATACATACAATGGAATATTACTCAACCATAAAAAAGAATAAAATCTTGCCATTCACAACAACACAGATGGACCTAAAGGTATTATGCTAAGTGAAATAAGTCAGACAGAGAAAGACAAATATCCTATGATTTCACTCACATGTGGAATCTAAGTAACAAAACAAATGAAGAGAAAAAAAGACTCAAATACAGAGAACAAAGTGGCGGTTCCCAGAGGAGCATGGGGGTGAAGGATGGGCAAAATAAGTAAAGGGGATTAAGAGGTATAAACTTCCCAAAGTAATCTACACATTCAATGCAATCCCAATCAAAATTGTACTGGCATTCTTCTCAAAGTTAGAACAAACAAGCCTAAAATTTGTATGGAATCACAAAAGACCTC